GGGGGGGGGGTTAGGAGACAAGGTGGGAACGACACTTGAATGTCAGGTTCTACCTGAGAGGCTGCTTTCAACGTCAGTGGGGATCGAAATGTCAAAGCGATGAAGTCGAAGATGGAGCTAAGTCAAGCACGCAAAGGTTGAGTGTTTTTCCACAGGAAGTGAATGAAGACCAGTGAGGTCAGTGTAGTGGCCTCAGAGCAGGACGAGGCCGCGGTTTGGTCCACATCTGCAGGACGACACTGCAGTGTAGTTTGTTTTTGTTTTTTTCAAAAATACAGCATGCTTTGTCCAGGACACTTGTCCAGACTATGGTGAAGGACAGTCTGACCACAGGTGTGTCCACCTGGGAAGGACGTCCTGCTCTTAGCCAATGACATCCTACCATTGTTGTCTTCTTTTTTTCAGAACGGAACACAAAAGGTTCGACCGCGCGTACAGTGCCCTCTGCTGGGCCATGAACTAACCACCAGGATATAAAAGGCATTTATGCATCAAGTATTTCTTTGTTTCAGTTTATTTTCACTTATTAAAGAAAAAACTAAAAAAAAAAAAGGTCAAAGTTGAACTATTGTTAGAGTCATGTGACTGAACCGTGACGTCAAACTGGGAAAAAAGTAGATTATACTAAATTGAATTGGATTACATTGGTTCGGATTAGATTATGTAAATTTAATTGGATTAGAAGAGAGTTTAGTTAAATTAAATTAGATTACTATAGATTAGATTAGATTAGATTAGATAAGATTAGTTCTGAAGAGACCAGGCCGCTCAAAACAAGTAGAAACAACGGAAACCAGCGCTAAAGTGAACCAGAATAACTAACTGTGAGTGTATGTTGGTTCCAGTCCAGTCAAAACAGCATCGACAACAACCAGCACCAGCACCAGCCTGGTGAGGACAGAAAGTCACGCCGCCCATTCACAATTGTGAAAGTGCGCGTGATCGTGGCAACACAATGACATCGTGTGGAGTAAAAAAAACCAACGTTGTGCGGGTCACGTGACTGTGTTAACAAAGATGGGGTGATGGGGAAGGTGCTCACCTTGCTGTGCCCTGGCAGCTGTGTTTCTGGGTCAAATCTCACATCATCGACGGTTGGAACAACCGGGCTCCCGTTCAGTGCTGATGCTCAACACCGCTGCTGCTGCTGCTGCTGCTGAAGAAGATGATGGTGATGATGGTTCCAGGCATCTCCTGCTCCTGGAGGAGCATGTCACACAGTAGTCACGTTGTCTGAATCTAAATGTGTGTGTTCCCCTGTGTGTGTGTATGTGTGTGTGTGTGTTTTCCTCCACTCTTTCTGGGCGCACAGCCAGCGCGAGCAGCGGAATTTAAATGGACCACGGACACAGACGATATAACGACCGTTAGCGGCTAAAACCTAGCTGTGCTCTTCATATAATGTATAATAACAGATGTTCCGGAGGCTAAAAACATCAACACATGCAAACCTGCAGCAAAAAAATAAAAAAAACAACAACAAAAAATACGAGGGATGAAACAATGTCCGCTACACAGAGGAGGAGACGGGCGAAGCCGCGAGAGAGTGGACCGTGGGTTGGAGGAGCGGGAGGCGGCGTCCACTGCTGCCTTCCTGGGAGGGACGGTCCGTCCTGGCAGAAGACAGAAGACCACCACGACTGTCACTGAAGGGCTTTAAAATACTACTTCCTGTTCCTTCTTTTCACAATCAAAATACGTGCGCGACTGTGTGCGCGATGGCACCAATGACAGCGTGACGACGTTTTAAGACGAAATACATATGGTCGGAGGAATAACAATAGAGCCAGACCCGAGTTATGTCAAATGGTTCACAAAACGGGGGGCGCGGCCCTATTAAGGCTAATATATGCTTCACGTAGCTTTGACAGTGTTTAAATAATAAAGTTCAGTCGAGCCTTCTAGCATCAGATGTGAATGCGTTGACTCTCAACGAGAGTCACATCTACAAAAGGGGGGCGCTATAGAAAAAAATTTGGGTTCCACTACAGGGTAGCTAGGGAATATGCGAAGTGCTCAAAAAATACAAAAAACCTTTTTGTTTGTTTATATTTATGTTAGAAATGTTCTCAAAATATGGTTCAGGGGCCACTCGTTCAGCTTGCTCTCCCCCTGGTGGCAAATTGGGAATCTGACATTTGTTAGTTTGAGTTTTTTAATCTAATTTTAATGTCAAACTTCCTCACAGCCGAGTTGAGTGTTAAAGTCTGTTGAAATCTTTAGTTACATTTTATTTTTTGTCTTTTTTTTGTTTATAAAACATTCATTTATTGACATGTAAGTTAATATGTATTAAATTCTTGAATATTAAATATTAATATAATATAGTATTAAATATTTCACAAAAACATGGACAACACAGTTTAGTATTTTTAGCATAAAGTTAGCACTCATCATAACTAGCACTAAAAGAATAAATGTGTTTTACGTGCGTGACCAGCAGGTGCTGTAAAAGTCATTTTTGAAAAATGGTAATGTTCTAATGTGTCTTTGGACCGCGCTCCTAAAATGACTTCATGAATAAAACATATTCCTCCTTCAGCGGTCGCTGCTGCAAAGATGAACTTCCTGTCTAGTGTTTCCAAATGTGTTTGGAAAATGTCACTCTGAAGGTTTCCTGCCCCGGTTTCCATTTTTCTGTTCACTCCATCCAGTTAATGGACCGTGAAACTGAATTCCTTAGAGCGTCCACTGGATGGTGTCAAAAACCATGGTGGTTACATTTCACGACGCTAAACTTGCTTCGTAAACCTGACTGTGCGTTTTTGTTTTGTTTTGTTTTTTTTATTGGTAAAAGAAACTGCAATTATGTCCACACTGGTGGACAATGGTTAGTGTCTACGACAAAAGCCTCGTTGCTTTACTCTGAAACCCACAGACACCACTTCCGCTGTAGAAGTGAGGGCAAATTAAAATCATGACGTCAGTCATACAATTAAACTGACCTCATTGTAAAATTAGAACTAAATTATTTATTAAAACACATTCACTTTTTAACAATTGTGTCTAAAAAAGTGCGTCTATACTTATTAATACTATTATTGTATTAAGTATTGAGTCGGAAATTGTAAAGTTTGAAGCGTGATCATGTTTGTTATTCTGACCCGAGGGCTCCTCAGCGTGTTGACGCCACACTCCCTTCTCTTTAAGTATTTGCCGACCTCTGCTGGACAAACGTTGGTACTGCAGCTGTAGCATGCTTTGTAATTTTACTCAGGCACTGCAACGGCCTACTCATGTGACGTATTTTGTGCGAGACAAAGGACCTCCGAACGGCCGCTTGTCGTTTGGTTTCCCGGTCAATTGTGTAAATGAATCTTTATCCATCTGAAATCTGAATCATCATAAAAATCCCTGCGGTAAATATAAACTCGTAAAATTCTACGTCTTCTCCATAATCAGATAATATGTTTATATGCTGGTAATTAATATTTTTTTCTAGCGTAAATAGCCAGATAACGCAAGAGTCCGGCAAAAATGGCGCTTTGTATGAATGGACTACCCTCGCTGAGTTTAAGTTAACCTGAAAGCACTGCAAACTTAGTCCTTTAATTCTCAAAAAACGTACAAAAATATCCTTAAAGTGTTCAACACTGCGCGTTATGCGTGGAAACCAAAGCATTTGCTGAAAAGGGGCATTATAAGAGAGCATTTTCCTAAATACGAAGCGAATGGTTTGTAAACAGTGACGTTGAACTGTTCGGCGGGGCCTTTGAAATTTTGCCTCTTAATTTCCATGCACCTTAAGAACAACTGAGTTCTGAAAGAAGAGAGCGTGTTCCATATACAAGTAGTATTGAAATTTTATCTTTGTTTTCAATTCATACTCACATTTGTCATGTCTAAACCTTAGCGTTAGCTTAGCCACTTGTTAACATTACTTATACATGATAATCGTTTGAGTTACACATGCTGTGGGTATCGTTAATTTATAGAAAATGCGCCTTGTTTTGAAGCAGGTGGCTGCATATGGATATATATGTATATTTATTGTCTCCCTTGCTTACGTTTCCTCTATCTTTTTATGTGCTGTTTTTAACGTGTGCACGGTATGAAATGTGGATTGTGAACATTGTGATGGTTTTGGTGTGTAGCACAAAATAATGTTGCCGGTTTGACTGACACTGTGCCACTGGGTTCATTCTTGTTTCCAGTACTGACCCGGGTTCAGCGAGCTGTTTGCTGCCCCTCAAGGATCTTGTAGGGAATCTACAGGAAGGGAGCCATGTTTCTCTACAATATCACCCTGCAGCGTGCCACTGGCATCACACATGCCATCCATGGAAACTTCTCAGGTGAGATGGTTCACTGCGTTGCTGTTGACAGAGACATGTTAGTCATATTGGCTCACAGGCTGCATAAAACCTACCTACATTTTAACCGTGTAACTGGTCCAACAAACTGACTGCTTAAAAGGACTGTTTCTGCTCCAAAAGGAACCAAGATGCAGGAGATTGTTGTTTCCAGAGGCAAGATCCTGGAGTTACTGCGTCCAGATGCCAACACGGGGAAGGTGCACACTCTGCTCACAGTAGAAGTATTTGGCATCGTTAGGTCTCTGATGGCCTTCAGGCTCACAGGTGGAACCAAAGGTATGTAACCTGTGCTCAGAAATACCCTTTAACCTTGTGTTCTTGAACCAAATGTCAATGTTGACTTTAATGGTTATTTACAGCACCTGTAAACTCCTCAGTCAGCCTTTTGTACATATTAAATATATCAAAGCATACTTGACACTTCACACAAGTCTTTTCACACCTGTGTTTTATTTTTGTTGTAAAGCAGTCTTTTCACACCTGTGTTTTATTTTCCTGTAGATTACATCGTTGTGGGCAGCGACAGTGGCCGTATCGTCATCCTCGAATATCATCCGTCCAAGAACATGTTTGAGAAGATCCACCAGGAGACGTTTGGAAAGAGCGGCTGTCGGCGAATTGTTCCTGGACAGTTCCTGGCTGTCGACCCAAAAGGCCGAGCTGTGATGATAGGTATGGACTGATGTCAGAGACTCCAGGTTCAGTGTGCACCGCAGAGCGGCATTAGTTTGACATCCATTAATCTATTGATTATTATTTTCCATTTGAGTGGTTGACTTTGACAATATTGACATTATTTATTTAAAAAAAAATCTAACGATAAATATTGTTGTTCTGAAATATAGACATGTTGCAGCCTTTAAATCACACTTTATGCTTTTTGTTTTAAATGAATGAAATGACTAGAGATGTCCAATCTGTAAAAGCCTGTCTGAGTTGCTTAGTCTCAGTTGGCTGATATTAAACAACTAAAAAGGAAATAATATATCTTTGACTGTGGGTTGTGGTCTCTCTTTTCCAGGTGCCATAGAAAAACAGAAGCTGGTTTATATTTTGAACAGAGATGCAGCTGCCAGACTGACCATCTCCTCGCCACTAGAAGCCCACAAAGCCAACACACTGGTGTACCATGTGGTCGGAGTTGACGTGGGCTTTGAAAACCCCATGTTCGCCTGTTTGGAAATGGACTACGAGGTGAGGTCATGAAAATTCAAGGTCGTGGCGTTAACGGGGAAAAAAAAACAACTAAAAATCCTTGGTGGGAACGTTTACTGCTGCTGTGAATATGATGAGCTCTTCGTGTCTCTTCTCTGACATTGACTGGAGAAAGATTTATCACCTCTGACCTCAGCATGTAGACCCTGTCACTGAACCACCGTGACGTAATAAGAGTCTGTTAAAGCTCAGTCTGACTAGTCCTGAGCTGTGATCGATCCAAATAACCGCCGTCTGGTTCTCTGACATTTCTTTTGATGTTGCAGGAAGCTGACAACGATCCGACCGGAGAAGCTGCTGCAAACACACAGCAGACCCTCACCTTTTATGAGTTGGACCTGGGTTTGAATCACGTGGTCCGCAAATACAGCGAGGCTTTGGAAGAGCACGGGAATTTCCTCATCACTGGTCAGCATTTAACTTTTTTATCGAGTTCATCTTTTTTATCAGTTATGTATCATCAGAATCTGTCCTTAAATTAAAAATGAAGTTAAGGTTTTTTTTTTTATTCTTTGAGTCAGATGCCAATGTAACATAGTAACTGATGAAGTATGTATGAGTTTACATTCAGTCATTTACTTAAGTTAAAGGTTTCCCCATTCATCCTGGAACTATTAATAGCTCACAAATTCTCCTCTGTGTTCAGTTCCGGGAGGTTCCGATGGACCCAGTGGCGTTCTGATCTGCTCCGAAAACTACATCACTTACAAGAACTTTGGAGACCAGCCAGACATCCGCTGTCCCATCCCACGACGTAGGGTGAGTCCAAGACCATCGGTCTGTCTGTGCTCACATTCATTCATCGTCTGACATCAACTGACAAACGGAACACAGAATTGTCTATGAAAGTCGTAAGGTTTATGTTACGATGATTACAGGGACAATTCTTTTTTTTTCCCCCTGTTTGTAACTTTTGGATTTTTTTTGATCACAGGGACAATTCTTCCTTTTTTTCCCCCCTGTTTGTAACTTTTGGATTTTTTTTCTTCTCTATCCCATAGAATGACCTGGATGACCCAGAGCGTGGCATGATATTTGTCTGCTCCGCCACGCACAAAACAAAGACCATGTTCTTTTTCCTGGCTCAGACCGAACAAGGTGACATCTTTAAAGTCACACTGGAAACAGATGAGGAAATGGTGAGGACAAGCGGTGGAGTTATTTATTTATCTTTTTTTTAATGATTTGTAAATCATTTATTTCAGTGTTTTGATTTGTTTACTACTCCTGGTCCATGAGCGAAGTAGTTTTAATTAAATTTGTCTGGCACTAAATCAGACATTTAATGTCCCATTAGTCTTAGCCTCGTTAGCGTTTGTCCTCAGATCTCTTCGGGCAGCTTTTTAATTTGGTTATAAAATGTAACCTTGACCTTGTCTGTCTCTGACAAACATCACAGTAGTTGAATATGCTAGTTACTGTTGTACAACACACTCTAAAAACTACTCTAGACAAAAGGAAAGTTGACGGCCGGTTCATGTCTCTGATGAGACTTTTTTTTTTCTGTTGCCTTTCCACCAGCTGAAGACATGTCTCGATAGGATCTTGTCAAATTAAACTCCCCGTTTCTTCTTAGGTCACAGAAATCCGTCTGAAATACTTTGACACTATCCCCGTGGCCACAGCCATGTGTGTCCTGAAGACCGGCTTCCTGTTTGTGGCTTCAGAGTTTGGAAACCAGTAAGTCTCCCCCTCCGTTCGGTCGTTGTCTTCTCCATGTTGTTTGTCTCCTGACAGAACGTAAATGTTTTTTCCCTCCCACAGTTACCTTTATCAAATTGCGCACCTCGGTGACGATGACGACGAACCAGAGTTCTCGTCTGCGATGCCACTAGAAGAAGGAGACACTTTCTTCTTCCAGCCCCGTCCCCTTAAAAACCTGGTGCTGGTGGACGAGCAGGAGAACTTGTCCCCCATCATGGCCTGTCAGGTGACTTGTTTGTTTATTTTTATTTTTTATTTTTTCAGACGTGGTGATTTAGTCTCAGTTTGTGTGGCTCACTGTTCCCCTGTTCAGACATGTGCATGTGGTGATGTAGTCTTAGTTTGTGTGGCTCACTGTTCCCCTGTTTGTGACAGATCGCTGATCTGGCCAATGAAGACACACCTCAGTTGTATGTGGCCTGTGGACGAGGACCTAGGTCTACGATGAGGGTCCTTCGTCACGGACTGGAGGTACTCACACACACACACACACATGCAAATACACACTGTGCCATTGTAGGATTTTTTTTTTTTTTTTTTGCTGTGGACGTGATGAGATTATTCCCCTCTCTTCTCTGAGTGAAAGCTGAAGAGTCTTTAAATATCTCTGATCTCAGCCTGAACAAAGAGTCCAGTTGTTGTTTGTTTTTTACCAAAATAAAATGCTTCCTGATCAGATCAGACCCAGTGGAACCTTTTTGAAGTAACAAAAAAGTCTTTGTAGGAACCAGAAGCCAGACCTTAGTGTATGGTTTCATGAGAATGATTTAAGTTTTTATTTGTTTTTAACCCATAGAATTCTAACATGAATTAATGAACTGATTTATTATTAGAATCAAGAATAATTGATTCCACATTTGGAAAATCTTTGTGTTAACTGTTGATGCAAGCGGCGGCCCCTTGGAGGCGCCAAGCATGTGGTTCCCCTGGGAAAATAAAAATAAACAAATAATAAACAAAATAGACAGCATTTTCTGTTTTGTCAACAACTGTCAACTGTGGGTAATGCAAATGCTGTACTTTGTTTAATTGGACAGCCTAGAGTGTAGTTTATTTTATGTTTGCCATATTTTTTTTTTAGATGTCATAAAAAGGTCTTAAGTCATTAAATCTGTACATCAACCCTTAAGTAATAACATGTGAAAAACAGCATATGTTTCTCCTTTATATTTAATTCAGTTATATCTAAAAAAAATGGCAAAGAAGTGAAGTTCCAGAATCTGCTGTAAACAAGAAACAATACAAACCTGAAATGACAAAAAAAAAAAAGAATTATTTTCAGTTGTTTATCTTTTTTTTTTTTTTTTAATGTTTCTCCAGTCAGACTTTGTTTTCTCACCTCTCCCTAAATCGGTCTAGCTGAGAGGCTAACAATTGAATTAGCCACTTTTATTTTCGTTTTCTGTGATGTTAAATATTATGGTGTGATCACAGAAGCTTCGTCTGATCCTCTCCTTCCTTCTCTGTCAGGTGTCAGAGATGGCTGTGTCAGAACTGCCTGGTAACCCAAACGCTGTGTGGACAGTGCGCAGACACGTCGAAGGTAATTAAAAAAGATTCCTCCAAAAAAATCATAATCTCCTTTTCCTGCTTTGTTAATTTTTTTAATCTCTGTTCCCGTGTCTTTTCGTTGTCCTGTGGTGAGGTTAATCACCTTAACTCTCATACAAATCACAGCATTAAAGGGATTTTCCGTCAGACACGTTACCAAGCTGCAGAATGTTATTATTCTAATTCCTGAGCCACCGCATGTTTCAGCACATCTGACGTGTTTAGTCGAACCAAGCTGATCCTCAGAGCGACAGTCTGTGGATCCACCTGTCAATCAACAGGAGGAGTTTGTGTTCTAACCTCTGTTGATGATTTTGATTATATTAGAATTACGGCTGCTGAGTGATTGGAAGTTTTTTTGTTTCTCTTGGCGCCTGTCGCAGATCTGCTGTTTATACAAGGATTTCCAAAAGTGTGGGATCAAATTATTATTGTTGTTCTTGGCGCCTGCCGCAGATCTGCTGTTTACACAAGGATTTCCCAAGTGTGGGATCAAATTATTATTGTTGTTATTTTATTTTTTTAATATTGGATGGTGGATTTTTATATATTTCTTTTTGTATAAATGTGTTCAAATTCTGTCAAAACTCCTACTTAACCAACTCCAGTAGTGCTCCAAAATAAGGTGCTCGTCCCTCACTTTTATCTGACTTTTTGTCTCTTGAATGACCAGACGAGTTTGACGCCTACATCATCGTGTCTTTCGTCAACGCCACTCTGGTCTTGTCCATCGGAGAGACCGTGGAAGAAGTGACGGATTCTGGCTTCTTGGGAACAACTCCCACTCTCTCCTGCTCCCTGCTGGGTGAAGACGCTTTAGTGCAGGTTAGTGAGAAGTGTTTGTAAAGTATGTCTTACCTGGAGTTAAGGTGAAAACTCTAGGTAGTTTTTTTTTTAATCCTGTGCTTCCATCACTCCTCCACGCAGGTTTATCCTGACGGCATCCGTCACATCCGTGCAGACAAACGTGTGAATGAATGGAAGACCCCGGGTAAGAAGACCATCGTTCGCTGTGCTGTCAACCAAAGGCAGGTTGTTATTGCCCTGACTGGAGGAGAGCTGGTCTACTTTGAGATGGACCCGGTAAGAATAAAAAAAACAAAACAACTTTACACTTGTAACTTAACACGTGTTTTAAACATTCACCTAATGTTACAGATTCAAATTTAACTAATGGATTGTTTTAGGTGTCAAATTCCAGAATTTCAAAATATGTATAACACAAAGTTATAAAATTGTATATATATATATATTCTGGAATTGAAATACTATTAATGGCCTGGTAATATTTATTTATTTATCTGTAGAAACCACTGAGTTCCTGGCACCAGCATTCTGCATGCAATCCCCTGATTATTAGAATATATTCATAAAATAAGTTGCAATGCTGCCATCTAGTGGCTTTCATTGCGTTATCAAGTTTTCATAATTGAAGGAAAAAATGATAGCGATTCTTACAGATTTTACATAACTATGCTAATATCATACATAGTTCCAGCTCTGTAATAGTCACAGAAAGTGAGGGAAACGCCTGAGGTCAGAGGTCTAATAATGCACTGCTGCTCTCGTCTCCTTCCTTCCTCCAGTCTGGCCAGCTGAACGAGTACACTGAACGTAAAGAGATGTCTGCAGATGTGGTGTGCATGAGTCTGGCCAACGTTCCTCCTGGAGAGCAACGCTCTCGATTTCTGGCCGTTGGCCTGGTGGACAACACTGTCCGAATCATCTCTCTGGATCCTTCGGTAGGTTTAAAAAAATATTTAAAAAAATATATATATATATTAAAAAACTATTTTCACCCCCATCCCCGCAAAGTAAGCATAAATGAGAAGTGTCAGAGGTTAGATGTCAGTGTAAACAAATAACCAAGGAAGCAGGTTCAAAGGACACAAGACTCCCCGCAGCTCAGAGCAAAGTTGTTCTCATCCATCTTAAGGGAAGACCAAGAAGCCTTTATGGTAGAATAAAGGACGACTTCAGGACGCATCTGACCTCTGCCTGTTTTTGATGTCACATGTGAGGCTGAGGTGACAGTCAGATGACAGGGATCTACAAACATGTCCTTTAACTGAAGTGCTGTGGTCTTAACTTATTATAAAACATATTTTGGTTGCCTTATAGTGGGAGTGGGTGTGTGGTTGTTCCTATAAAGTAAAAGGGGTGAAAAGCCCGTCTGCCCCACGGCCTGTGGATTTACTGTGTTCTTTAAAATGAGTCATGAGACGGAGCATAACAACTACAGAGTTCCTGTGTGAGGGCTGAGTACTTACAGTACTAGTTCTAGTGTTACTGCAGGTTGTTAGAAGAGTTTTATATGTATATACAAATGTGTGTGTTACGATGATGGAGGCAATAAAAGTGTTTAGGAAAACATTTGGCACTGGACTCAGATAAAAGGAAATGTTTTTTGTTTTTTTCTTTATATATACGTACATATTCAGAGCAATATTTAATCTGGGATTAGTGATGATGTCATTTAAACTCTGGGTGTTTCTCTGCCCTCTCAGGACTGCCTGCAGCCTCTCAGTATGCAGGCTCTACCGGCCCAGCCAGAGAGCTTGTGCATCGTGGAGATGGGTGGAGTCGAGAAGCAAGATGAACTTGGGGAAAAGGGAACCATCGGGTTCCTCTACCTCAACATCGGACTGCAGGTACTTTTTTTTCGGTGTCTTTTCAGACGTGACTTAATTCAAATACTTAATCAATGAGATGTAAATATATATATATATATATAAACCTTACCATTCTGATCTGTATCTTTTGGTTCCTCTCTTCAGAATGGTGTCTTGCTCAGGACTGTCCTGGACCCTGTCACGGGTGACTTGTCTGACACAAGGACACGATACCTGGGGTCGCGACCTGTCAAGCTCTTCAGGGTCAGAATGCAGGGCCAGGAGGCTGTAAGTCACTCAATATTTAATATATAAAATATTTTAAGTAAAGAGCAGTGCAACTTTGTACTAAGGCCCGTTTCGTCCAGGTAATGTGGTAATTGATCTTATCTCGCTACCAGGTGCTGGCCATGTCCAGTCGCTCCTGGCTGAGTTACTCGTACCAGTCTCGCTTCCACCTGACCCCACTCTCATATGAGACCCTGGAGTATGCCTCTGGTTTTGCCTCTGAACAATGTCCAGAAGGTATCGTGGCCATCTCCACCAACACACTGAGGTATGGAGGCGCACGTCGGACGTGTTGATGGTTGTTTGTGTGCAGAGAAAAGCTGACTGTGAAACTCCAGAGATTTGAACTGCTGACTCTAACAATTGTCTGTTTCCCTGCCCCCGCCCCTCCTGTTGTTCCTCCTACTCCTTTCTGTGGGCAGAATCTTGGCTCTGGAGAAATTGGGGGCCGTCTTCAATCAGGTGGCATTTCCTCTGCAGTGCACTCCCAGGAAATTTGTGATCCACCAGGAGACGAATAACCTCATTTTGATTGAGTCCGACCACAATGCTTACACGGAGGCGACCAAAGCTCAGCGAAAGCAGCAGATGGCCGAGGTACGAAGTTGCACCGTCACAGTGGTCGTGGTCCAGCTCAGCGCTGCGGTTTGGCACAGGCTCAGTTTTCAACACTGTGCGCACTGAGTTCAAAACAAGTTCACAGACGCAGCCAAGATGTAGAATAGTCTAGGGTTTATTTTGGGGTCTGCGGGGTATTTCAGTCGACAGACCGACTGTTATCTTCATGCTGTGTGTTGTTGACTTGTGTGTTTGTGCCTCGTAAAGCAGTGTGAGTAAATTAGACCAGATCAATTTAAGTCAAATATGTGTTTTTAGGATGCACAAAATCTTTATTGGCAGGATAGTCTCAAAATGACACCGAACATTCTGGAAACCTTGTCGACAGTCTTCACTGACTTGTTAATGCAGGGGAGTCAAACATACGGCCCACGGGCCAAATCTGGCCCGCTTGGTGAATTTTGAAAATAAAAAAAAAAGTTATTTTTGTCATCAATTTAAGTCAAATATGCATTTTTAGGATGCACAAAATCTTTATTGGAGTTCTCTTTGTTGATGCGTTTTCAATGGCGTCTCTACAGGAAATGGTGGAGGCAGCCGGTGAAGATGAACGAGAACTTGCCGCAGAGATGGCGGCTGCCTTCCTCAATGAAAATCTCCCAGAAGCCATCTTCGGTTCACCTAAGGCCGGGGCCGGACAGTGGGCGTCTATTGTGCGACTGATTAATCCCATACAGGGTTCAACTCTGGACCAGGTGCAACTGGAGCAGAACGAAGCTGCTTTCAGGTGAGTGGGAAATAAAAAAATTATAATAAAAAATCTTTTTATAACAGATTTTCTCACCAACAATATTTTTTTTATTGTATTGCAACATGTTTTGTCATTATTTTCTAACCTTATTTTTCATTTGCCAGTGTGGCCGTGTGTCGCTTTACAAACTCGGGGGATGATTGGTACGTTCTGGTGGGCGTGGCCAGAGACATGATTCTCAACCCCAGGTCGGTGGCCGGCGGCTTCATCTACACCTACAGACTGACTGGTGGAGGAGAGAAGCTGGAGTTTGTGCACAAGGTAAAGCTGACTGAAAGTCAAGTTTACGTCAAACTGTTTCCTTGTTAAGTTTTTCTCTTTTTCCCTTGGATTTTTGTTAAGGATGTGCGATAATAATGGCCGACCAATATTATCGACCCGATATTAGCATAAATATGTAATATCTGTAAGTTAGCGTTATTGTTTTTCTCCAGAAAATAATTGCGAAACACTGCTTTATCCCATCACCTTTGTGAGCAGGTTGCTCTTGACTTCATTAACCACCAGGCCACCACTGCCCCACTATATTGCCCAGAGAAATGGCATGATTAAAATGCAATGTTAAAATAGTTTTAGTAAATTTACGATTTCTGAGCCACAAAGAATCAAACCTGGAATTGTCTTAAAAACCTTAAATATCCTGATCACTCGCTCTTCTCTCTTTTCTGGACTGGTTGCAGATTTTCCCTTGATTATTAACATTTTCAATATTGTCACCTTCCAACACACAGTTCAGTGTTTTTTTTGTAAGTAGAAGATTAAAAAAACGAACAAAAAAATGTTACCGTCAAACCCGGGTGTAAAGATGAGGATTAGAACGGGGGTGATTTAGTTTAAAGTTTAAATCCCACCAAACGCAGATGTTACTGCCCCCGGGGCCGGTCACTCCTCTTAAGGCATTTCCCCAGAAACCTGATCAGGGTGGAGGTCGTCAGGGTGACTCGGACCATCAAATACCTGATGTGGATTAAGAGGGAGTCAAGTCATGAGTGTTGTATTGCATTCTGGTGTCAGCCACTTGTTTTCACATTAGAGGAAATTCCCAACCACTTAACCACCAGCTGCTGCTTTAGATGAGTCTGTTCTAAACACACACACACACACACTTGTCTTCATTTAAACAAGATATTTAGAAATAACACACGATGAACAGGAAGTGTTCACATGACTCTGCTGTCAGAGTCTGGGTCAGCAGAGGATAGAAATGGTTGGTTCCGTCCGGTCTCGACTTTTGTTTCAATTAATTAAAAAATAAAAGCTAAATTCTTGGTAAGTCAAGTAGAGACGGTGTTTGACAGACAGTAATAAATGAGAAATGGGCTTGAGTTAGTTCTTGGCAGGCTGTTCGGAACCGAGTGTAGTTCCATATTGGATTATGTTCAGTTTTAATCACCAGTTTGTGTTCTTTGTGCCAAATCAAATGGACTTCAACGCCACAGACTGGAGCTCAGCGACGTCACTAGACTCAGTTTAGCCGACACCAGTTGTCGCCGTCCGTCCCTTTTTATCAATAAATGGAGTCAGGAAGTCGCTGAAGTCACGATGTCTGACCTGAAGTGGACAGAACTGCCCTGTAGTCATGACTGTATTTCATTATCCCTGAAACGCCATGAAATGTAGAGATACAATCTTAAACAGTAAAGTCTTTATTTGTCCTCCGCGTTCATCCACTTCGTGAAACAGCAGCTAGTTGTATTCAGTCTTCTGCGGAATGTTTATCTGCCTGATCAATATTATAAAGATATTTTACTTGATAAAAATATGTATAATAATAAAAACTTAACTCGTTAAAAATTGAATATTTAGAAACAGCCAAATTGTTCCAGAAGACGTTTTTGCATGTGGTTAGAAACCACTGCTGAATGTACATGACCTTTAAACCCTTAGGGAATTTGGACAACAATTTTTAATTTTAGGGATGTCTGATTTTACCTTTTTGCCAATATCCAATATGCCGATATTGTCTAAACACTCAATTACCAATTCCGATATCAGCCAATGCCGATATAGCAGGGCAGTGGTGGCCTGGTGGGTAAAGAAGTTTGATGGGTTGAAGTAGTGTTTCTCAATTATTTGCCATGCTTCCCTAGGGGACCCCCCCCCCTCCAAATTGTAATACTATTAGCGATCACAACATATCTTAGTTCCACAATGTGGGGGTGGAGGGAGTGGGGGGGGGGCACTATGGGAGGTCGGTCTGGCGCTTCTGGGTGAAGCTATGTGAATAAGAGCTTTTCGGCTACTGCGACTTAAAGCTGCTTAGCTGTAAATGTAAAAATCGCCTTTAACCCAGCAGAGAATAATCTGATCAACTATGCTGTCCTGACCCAAGTTTCTCCCCTTTGATTTTCAGACCCCGGTGGAGGACGTGCCTTTGGCAATCGCCCCATTTCAGGGACGGGCCCTGGTAGGAATTGGAAAACTGCTGAGGATATACGACATGGGAAAAAAGAAGCTGCTCCGCAAGTGTGAAAACAAGGTGAGAGGTTGTCAGACTTATAAAACAAAAGTAATAATGTTTGAATCTTCCAGTCTGTGAAGGGTTGAAAACATGTGGTCATGGTTTTATATTTTGACAAATGACTAAATAAAAAAAAAAAAAAAAGTTTTTTGTAGGGATGTCCAATATTAACTTTTTGCCGATGTGCTGATGTTATCTACGTCTTTCAATGCAATGCTGCCATCTAATGACTTTCACATACAGCTGTTTTTTCCCCAGAACTATTTTCAGGGCACACGTAATTTGGCTAAAGCCAGGCAATTTGTTTTCGGGTTTTCATTATCAGTGGAAAACCAAGTGACTGTTCTTGCAGATATTACATTATTATGCTAATATCAGGCCGTTAATATCGGTCGGCCACACTCAAACAGAAACACACCTGTTCTCCCTGGTCTTCCATATTTGTTTTGTTCATTGATCATTGAAGGAGATGGTCAGGTCCACTGGAACCATTTCATTAGGGCAGATGTGGAACTGCACGGAACTCCATGTGTAAAAAACATTCTTCAACTTTGCTCTGATCCTCGGGGCTAATCGATTTGTTCCAGGCAACTTTTCTTCTCCTTCTACTTGACAACCCGACGTGAATGGATGATTGACACTGCAGCTGCAGCACAAACAGGCGTCATTATTATTATTATTATTATCATTTTTATTGAAGTGCGACTTTATTAAGTTTTGTGCATTTGCACAGTGTCACTGTAAAACCAAGCAGCAGAAAACTGTGTAGTCAATATATAAACTGAGATTCTTTCACTAAGCACTAGCTCAGACTTGTTAACCCTGACCATAACTGAGAGGGGGGTGGGAAAAGGGTGGTGGGCTAGTTAAAAGTCAGTGCCTGAGCCTCTTACTAACTTACTCCAAACAAATTTTTTTTTTTCTGAAATAAAACACATTTACCGTCCTAGGACTCATGGTAAAAGTTAAGTGTTTCTATCCTACCAAAATCCTTAACTTTTCATTTGGTTTTCCAAAAATTATCTCTGCCTGTAGCACGTACCCAACCTGGTGACCGGTATCTATACCATCGGTCAACGCGTGATCGTCTCCGACGTCCAAGAGAGTCTGTTCTGGGTTCGCTATCGCCGCAACGAGAACCAGCTCATCATTTTTGCGGACGACACGTATCCTCGCTGGGTGACGACGGCCTGTCTGCTGGACTTCGACACCATGGCTTCGGCTGACAAGTTTGGCAACATTAGCATTGTGAGTACATGGACCTGGTTTAATAGTTAGCTTTACATTTCATGTGGAAAGTTTCAGCATGTTTGAATGCGAGCAGCTGCTTAGAGAAGCAGAAAGAAAAAAAAAAATCTGAATGTTCTTCATGTGATGTGTTCAGGTTCGTCTCCCTCCCAACACGAGTGATGATGTGGATGAAGATCCCACAGGGAACAAAGCACTGTGGGACAGAGGACTCCTGAATGGAGCTTCCCAGAAGGTAAAGACTCGTCTTTCAATAATAAAGTATTACCACTAGGGGTGTGTATTGGCAAGAATCTGGTGATACGATACATATCACGATACAGGGAGCAACCATATGGTATACTGGGATATACTTTAAGGACAGCGATATATTGTTTTTATTTTTCACCAGTGTAACTGTAGTCAAAGCACCAGTTTAACTGTAGTCAAAGTGTGATCCTAGTCTCAGACTCTGTTCCATTTGAACATCAGGTTCCTAACACTGGAACAGAGGGATCTACATTTGTAATCACTAGAGAAGAAAAAAAGAAAAAGATAATGAACCAACACCAGGAATATTGATATGGTATTGTGAAAAGAAACATCGCAATATTTCAATGTATTGATATTTCCTCACACCCCTAATTAGCACTACAATCTTCTGGTCAAGTCTCTCCATGCTAAGCTAATTCTGTTGTAAGGTAATCAGTTAATGTTCAGTGTGTGGACATCACCATTTAAATGAACAAACCAAGGCCGCACGTCTCCTGTGACCAGTGAATGATTCACAGGAAGTCCGCGCTCCCAGTGTTGTACCACACTGTGAGTCCTTGATACTGTAACTTCTTAACATTCTTCAGACCCTGAAGCCGCAGACACCACACACACATGCACACACACTAAGTGCAACAACATCATCGACCACAACTTTATCCTCCTGACAAATAGTACAAACTGCAGCTCCCAGACGCCTGGTCAGGAACTGTTTAGGTAGCAGATGGAAAGTCCCTATAATTCAAACATCAACTGGGACCAAGGCAGCTTCATGACACAGCGGTTGTCAGATGTCGCAGCCCAGCAGACTCATTGATAGGGAGTTTTATTTGACCGTGTTTGGACGTGGGGGTGGACACTGCTACATTTGTTGTCCAAGTGTTTGTCAGGTTGAGTAGACCAGTTCCTGGAGTTCATTGTTACACCTGTCACTGGTTGGTCTGGGATGATGATGCTTTTGGGAACAGTTGGGCAGACGTCTGACGTGCACCTTAGGCTGTTTAAATTTAACGACCCATTTATGACTTGGCTTAATTTGTAGCCTTGAAATGGAAACGGTGAATTCCGCTTTTCTTTGGTAGAGGTTCAATGAGTCAGGCTGATGGAGATGATGTGTTTTCCAGTGGTTTGGCTACAGATTTAAATCAAATTAAATGTAATATTTAAAACTGTTGTTTTTAGAAGAGAAAATAACACTTAAATATTGCAGTAGTCGATCGATTGACGATACCTTAGATATTCTACAGCACTTTATCACAAATTCCCAGTCCAATATTCCTGGTGTTGGTTCATTTTCTTTTCCTTTTCTTTCTTCTCGAGTGATTCCAAATGTAGATCCCTCTGTTC